TTCATCAAGCAAAACTAAATGCTGGAATGTTAGTTTGGAGGGAAATTGCATGAGAAACTTCACGACCCATTTAAAAAAAAAAATTCTCTTGGACGTTGAAAACCAATGGGACAGACATGAGTATGAGTCTCAGAAGTCAGGTGTGATAGTTAATTTCAGTTGTCAATTTGATTGGATAAAAAAAAAAAAAAAAACCTTGAGCAAGTTGTCAATGAAACAATTTGATTAATAATTAAACTAAAAACATGTAGGTCATTAGCGAGACACATTTTGGGGATGTGTGTATGAGGGCTTTTCTGGAGATGTTGGCCGTACATGTGGGGGAACACCTGCCCTGAATGTGGGTGGTACCATCTCATGGGTTTACACACTGAAGAAGAAGAAGAGATGAAGGGAACAGGCAGCTGAGAGCATCAGCAGTTATCTCGACTCAGGAAACTATGTGACCAGTTGCCTCGTGTTCCCGCTGTTATACCTTCCCTGCCGTGACTGACTGTACCATCCCTGAGCCAAATAAACCCTTCCTTGCTTAAGTGCTTCTTGCCAGGAATTGATCACAAGAACAAGAAAATTAACCCAGAGGTGGCACCTCCCAAGTTGGCCTGGTAGATAAGCCACAAGGTGACTTGAAGGAGTCAGTCATCTCCGCTTGATTAGGAAGGCATGGGAAAACAAGATGGAGTTTGATTGTCATATCCTGTCCTGTTGTCCACACACACACACCCCCGCCTCCCCCAACCCCCACCCCCTCACCCCCTCACCCCCCAACCCCCAACCCCCAACATAGCTCCACCCCCCCACCCCCACCTCCCCACCCCCTCTGTCCCATCCCTCCCTCCCGCAAGACAGGGTTTCTCTGCGGAGCCCTGGCTGTCCTGGAACTCACTCTGTAAACCAGACTGGCCTCGATCTCACAGAGATCCCCCTGCCTCTGCCTCTTCAGTGCTGGGAATAAAGGTGTGCACCACCAGAGATGGAGCTGGAGCTTTTGAAAAATTCTTATGCTTCTTAGACCCTTGAGAACCTCAGATAGGTCAGTAGAAACCATGTGGAAGGATTTCTTCTGCCTCCAGCAGCCTAGACCCAAAAGAAACTCTTTTGCTTTCTTAAATTCGAACTCTTTACCGTCCTTGTATGCTATATTGTCTCCTACAGTGATTGTCAAGGTACCATTATGATGGGGTGGTCTCCAAGACACTTCCCCCGTCACCTCAAACAGGTTTCTGTTTGTGCACTACATGTATGTGCTTCCTGTTGTCTGGTTCTCTTACTACTGCTGCATCCATCCAAAAGCTTCCCATGGCCAATACTCAATGCCACAGTTAGGGGCAACTTGGGGTTCCTTCTCTGACTTAGCCCTACTCCAGATCAACTGAACTTATGCACATAACATACTTTATATTCCCTAGCTGGGATATAAATAGACATGAGTGTTCAGTACCATCACCATCATCATATGCACATGGACACACATGTACTTCCCTCGCACATGAATACACACATACACACACACACACACACACACACACACACACACACACACACACACTGGGCAGGGAGGGGGCATACCAAAAAATCTTTCTTTAGGACTCCCCACCTGTGATGGTATGAATGTGAAACACCCCCACAGCGTTGGAACACTGACCCCAGTTGCTGGTATTTGAGGGAGGTTATGGACCTTTAAGAGCTGAGGCTTGTCTGGAAGAAGTAGGCCACTGAGTACAGGCTTATGTGTTACATTCCAGCTAGATTCACTTCTTGCCTCCCGTCCCACTGATACTTGAGGAAGTAAGATGTCCCAGCTGAACAGTTCCGCCACCCTGGAGCTACCTACCACCATGCTTTTCCTACTTGGATTCTCTCAAAGCATGAGCCAAATAAGCCCTTCCCTCCTGGAACTGCTTCTTGTTTTCCTTAATCTGGTTACAGCAATGAGAAAAGGAAGTAATATAGGAAATCTGTGCCCAAGAGTCGCGTTGTGGCCGAGATAAACCTAGCATGTGGTCCGCACACCTTTGGAACTAGCGTGCAAGAGTTTAGAAACGTGTGGAGCTGTGGGCTAGAGAAGTCCTAGAACACTCTAAGAGCGCTTCACGGACCTTTCTGGTAGACGTGTAGAAGACAAGAGTGCCCCAAGAAAGGCAAACAATACAGTCGGTGCTCACAGGATTTCAGAGGTGGACGAGGGCTGTAATCAGGGACGGGACCAGAACCGCTCGTGCTGTTCTAGCAAAGAATCTGTAGGCGCTCAGCTCTAGTCCTGACACTCTGTTACAAATTGTAACAGACCAAATTGTTTAGTGGGGTAATCTAAAACTAGCATACCATTCAGGATGTGGCTTTGTTATCACTCACTCTCAACCCAGGAAGACGTGGAAGGTATGCAGTTTGGCCAGGAAAGAAGTGTGAATGTGGTTAAAATTGCAAATGGATTGGGGTGCTTTTGACCGTAATTGTCAAAGAGATTTGTATCGCTAAAGACAAACCAAGTTGTTTACACTGGGAGACGAGATTTCACCTATGAAAGCCTCAGCTTGAAAAAATGCAAATTCATTTGAAAGGAAAGCCTGAACCTAGAATGCTGCCTCAAGGGTTCCCTGCTGGAAACCACCCCCCAGAGAAATGTCTTCCTGCAGGAGGCCACAAAGGCACACACAGGCCACCGCACTAGTGAGGCAGACAGCTGGGGTATATAGACCCCAAACTGTGGAGGCTTCTGCAGTGGACTGAATACATTCTTACATTATGAAATGGCCAGGAGCCTGCGGAGGCTAGGGGGGGGAGTATGACAATTTAAATGTGAATTGTCCCCATAGGCCCGTGAGTTTTAACACTTGTTCTGTAGCTGATAGTTAGGGGAAGTTGTGGCAACTGTAGTCAACCGGGTGTGGTGGGGTGAGGGGATGGGAGAGTGGGGGTGGGGTGGGAGGGGATGATGGGGTTCTGGTTCAAGTAGCTCTCAGCTTCCCACTCTGCCATGTGACCTGTCACAAGCTCCCAAGAAGGGTCTGCCCACAGCGGCCATGCTTTTCCTGCCATTCAGCTAGGAACTGCACTTTAGAGAAAGTTGCATTCATTGTGTTAGGTGTTTGGTTATAGTGGTAAGAAAAGTAACAGCCACATCACTAAGTAAATCTACTTTTGCCCTCCTGATGACTGGGTATCTCCTCATAGAGGCCAGCATATGGTTGTTTGATGAAGGCATACTGTTACCCTTCTTGGAACTGTATCCTCAGAGGGTGTGACATAGTGCCCTGACACGAGAGGATGAGGAAAGTGACAGAAAAACCTGCAATCCCGAGCCCATTCCAGAAAATAGTACACCTGAGAGTCCCAGGGAGAGATGTCCATCAGGAAAACACTGGGTGGTAGAGGAGAGAAAATTTCCATGGACATGGCAGTTTATGTCCTTTCCTGGACTGCTGTTCAGAAAGAAGGCTCTAGGTCTCACATACATTGATGCATAATATATTAAAATATTATATAAAATATAAATATAGCATATCTTTGTGTGTCGTATATTATATAAAATATATGCATATATACAATATATAAAGTTTGCTGACACATAATATTTGGCAAAGGAGGAAACAGGTGGCACATATTCTATTTCCTTCTGAAAGATGTTTAAGGTTAGATAAAAATCTTCATTTTACAATTTTTATGAGGGCTTCAGTTTTTGTTTCTTTGATTTTGCTTTTTGATTTTTTTGAGACAGGATTTCTCTGTGTAGCCTTGGCTGTCCTGGAACTCCCTCTGTAGACCAGACTGGCCTCGAACTCCCAGAGATCCATCTGCCTCCGTCTCCCGAGTGCTGGGATTAAAGCCGTGCGCCACCACCACCCGGCTGTTTTGTTTTTTAAGGTATAATCCAGGGCCATTTTTCTTATTATACCAAATGATGTTTCTATACTACAATCATCTCCAGAGCTATACTGTAAAATATTGTAAAATGTCATCAGTGGGTAGTGATGGCTGGTTTTAATGGAGAATCATTATTTTGAATGTACATGTAACCTTACGTATTCAATTTTTATCAAAAGATTGCAGGGAACTTGGGAAATTGCCACAAAATAGCTACTGAGCAGGACATAGAGAAAGAAGGTTTTATACAGAATAAAGTGAACCTACTTGGAACTTGGAATTCAAAATCCATGCTCACTTACAAGGTGTGTGCAATGCCCTGCTCACACAGGGTATGTTACTCTTGGGGAATGTTAGGTCCTAAATCGTTGTAGCTTAGAGGACACAGAAATAGATAAACATAACCCAGCAGCTACAGCAGATCAAATGGACCAGGAAAAAAATGGTGAATCTCACCCTACTTAGTGACTCACTCACATCAAGGAGGTAATCAACCCTCAGAGCTCGCACTGACCCGTCTTGCCTTATACGCTGACTATCTAGTAAAAGACCATGCGTGAAAACATTTGGTCAACTCAGAGGTGCCACACAAATGACCTTTGGTTATTTTGAGGTCTCTGGCACATCATCTTTGTCCCCCACAACTATCTCTTTGATCTTAAATTTTTCTTTGGTCTTAAATTATCTCAAGATTGAATGCCTTACTCAGTGGGGTTACTCCTTTTGACTCTGCCTAGCTTCTTGGAAGCTCTGGCTTCTGTTTGGCTCCCTTACCTAATTATGGGCTATGCTGACCCTGTCACATAAGAGCTGTGCACTGGAACTCATGAAAGTACTGTGCAGGATTGGAGGATAGAGGGCAAGGAGGCAGGGGGTTTCACTTCTGTTTTAGAGAACCACACCATGCCTCTCTCCCTGGAAACTGACTTGTAAGGACTTCTCATGTCTTCTCCTGTAGCGGTGGAGAACCCAGTGTTCTCTTTGTCTCTCGCTTCAGCACAGAGCTGAACACACTTATAACCTCAGTTAGAAAGCATTCTTGCTTGGCACAACGCGAGCTGGAATCCAGAGCTGATGACTAATGGAACAAGGACTCTGAATAAAGCAACAATAGCCGCCAAGAGACTTGTGCTTACCACATGCGGGGCTGTTCAGTGCATGAATTCATCGACTCTTCGTAGCTGATCTGTCCTCCTTATCCAGAAGAGGAGAGCCCAGGCAGTCCTTGACTTAGGATGGTTTGCAAGCCACAGCAATTCCGTGGAAGCCACACTTGAAATTCTGGTCTTCTCCTGCACGGGTAATGTTCCATGTGGTGCTCGATTATGATGCTGGATGCTGAATGCAAGCTGTCAGTCAACTGTGCAATAATGAAGGCAAGCAATAGCTCCCCCACGGTGCACTGGTGCACTGCGTTGGGGCTCAGCTATCAGGCTCAGTGGGGCAGGTATAGTGTGTGCCCTTTTTACACAGGACATTTTTAAAAATTTACTTTATGTGCATTGGTGTGAAAGGTGTCAAATCCCCTGGAACTGGAGTTACAGTTGTGAGCTGCCATGTGGGTGCTGGGAATTGAACTCAAGGACCTCTGGAAGAGCAGCTGCTCTTAACTGCTGAGCCACCTCTCCAGCCCCACTTAGGATAGTTTTAACTTGCCATGGGATTGATTGGGACTTAGCCCATTATAAATGAAGGAGGGTCTGTCATTTAAATTCCTTTACACAGACTCTTACAATCTAGCCCTGGCTAGCCTGGAACTCACGGAGATTTGCCTGCCTCTGCCTTCAGAGTTCGGGGATTAAAGGTGTGTACTTCACCAGGCAACTGCCTATAATTTATATAAAGCCCAATAGTTAGTAAATGGCATGAATTCAAATTCAGACCATCTCGTTCCAGAGCCTATATAGCCTTAACTCTATGTCACACTGTTACTACTACTTGTTACTATTATCATCTACAAATTAATGATAATTTGGCGTAACAAATTATCCCCCAATTCAGAGGCTTAACACACAAGTTCTCTATGGCTGTAGGCATCTCGAGGTTTGACTGGGAAGAACCTACCTCCAAGCTTCCTCATGGGGTTGATAACAGCATACAGTTCCTTACAGGCTGTAGACAGAAAGTATCCTTAATTCTGTGTTGTGCAGCCTCACTATTTGGCAGTCTGCCATGTGGGAACGCTGGAAAAGAAAACAGAGTCCTGCAAAATGGCAGTCACCGCTGACTGTAGTTCTCATCCCATAGTGGCGTTCCATCATCGTTGCCAAATTCTGTTATCAGAAGCGACTCACAACTTGGTGGAGATTATAAAAGGACATAGCTATAGAACAGTGAGGATCACAGGAACTATGCCCAAAGCTTTCCACTCTCGAAATAATAACATTGTATAATAACTTCATAACGTTTATCAAAGGTCTACTATGTGCCAGTAAAAACATTTTATGTATACTAATTTATTTCATCCTCATCATGAACTCTACTTGGCAGGAGCAATATGAAGAGAGAGTGTCACCACTACATCAGGGACCAGAGAATGAAGAATACTACTTTCCTGTATTACCCTGGGAATGAGTGCTAGAAATTGAATCTATTCCAACATATCTCCTCTATGAAATCCTTTGTCTTACTAATGGGATGGCTCTTTCCAGGTAATTACAAACAGTTTTTTCCCAAAGTAAGTTTGCTTGGGCTCTACCAGTTCTGGGGGTAACAGGGAAATTTTACTCTTAACAAAAATTTTAAAAGCAACTACTATGTGCAAGTGTGTGCATGTAGGGTGATGATAAGGATGTAGGTGATGGTTGGGATCAAAGCCAGGGTTTTCATACATTAGGCAAGAGCCTTACTGATGAGCTACATCCCCTCCCTAGCCTAAAAAACACAATTTTCTTACACATTATAATTTATGAAAAGAACATAGCTTCACATGAATTTGATTTTTAAAACTAAAGTGCCAATAAGAATCATCTTAAGGGATGGAGAGATGGCTCAGAGATTAAGAGCACCGACTGTTCCTCCAGAGGTCCTGAGTTCAACTCCCAGCACCCACATGGTGGCTCACAACCATCACAACAATGAGATCTGGCACCCTCTTCTGTGTACATAATAAATAAATAAATATTAAAAAAAGAATCATCTTAAGTTTCCTATTTAAAAAAATTACCCAGAATATGAGCTATCCAAGTGAATTAGATGTCTTGTTTATTTTTGTGTGTATATGTGTGTGCAAATGTACGTGAATGCATTTGAGATTGCATGGAAAGTCATTGTTGGTTTGGGTGTCTTCCTTAATCACGCTCAACCTTATTTATTTATTTATTATTTATTTTAGATCTCTTCTCCTGTTAAATCTGGAGCTCAGCGAGCTGCTAGACCATCTGGCCAGCAACTCTGAGGGAACTTGCTGTTTCTACCTCCCCAGATCTGGGGTACAGGTGAGTGGTGCAGCACCAAGCTTTTTCCATGAGTACTAAGGCTACAAACTCGGGTCTTCATGCTTTAATGGCAAACACTTGCTGACAGTAATATCCTAAGCCCAGATATTAATTTAAATCTAATTTGTTTATTTCCTATTTCTCTTCAAAAAGTAAGTTGAAGTGGCTTGTCTCCAGGCACTCCACCTTAAGGAAGGAGCAAACAGCTCCCCTGAAAGGGTCAAAGCTCTTTGGGTTGGCTGGAAGGGCACCAACACTGACCAGGTCTTATCCAATGCCTGTCTCCCCAGTTGGAGGCCTGGAAAAGAGGTAGGGTTACTTAGGACAGGAGGGGTGGGAAATCTCCTTTCCTATTTTTAATAAGGACTGAAACAGTTGCTCCTTATGGGAGCTGTATGGAAGACATCCCAGATTCCAGGGCCACTGGGTGTGTGTCTATTTTCAAGTCTCTGATATTTGCAATGACACAGCCTTTAAACATCCAGGAAACAGTTTCTAGTCAAGGTAAAAATATCAACAGAGGACTATAGAATTAAAAACCTAAATAAAATGTGAGCAAATGGGAATTCGATGGTTTATTGTTAAAGGACTGATTGATTAACAAGGCTTAACCAGGTAAGCAGTGAGCATTAGTTATTAACACATGAATAAGACTGATCACATTACTAGGTCAGGAAGTAATATCAACTCAAACAAAAAGCACTAGCTAGAACTATGTATTAAGTGTAGTTAAGAAAAACATCTCCGTAAAAAGGCACAGTCCCTTTTACCATGACAAAGAATACTATCTAGGCAATTATATTTAACAGTGAAACATAAAACCAATTCCCAACAAACTCAGAATAAAGACAAAGATATTCTTTACTACATTGTATTATTATTATTTATTATGTATACAGTGTTCTGTCTGTGTGACAGAAGAGGGCATCAGATACCTTTATAGATGGTTGTGAGCCACCATGTGGTTGCTGGGAGTTGAGCTCAAGACCTCTGGAAGAACAGCCAGTGCTCTTAACCTCTGAGCCATCTCTCCAGCCCCTTTACTACAGTTTTGTCAAGTACAAAAAATGAACAACCTAGGTGTCATGGTTAACAATTGACTATTAAATAAGTTATGACACATTCATAATATGAACACCATGTAGCATTATAATACGGTACATGAATGCATAGACAGGTAGATAGGTTAGATGCATAGACAGACAGACAGACAGATAGATGGATAGATAGTATATCTGTAAATACAAAATATGTCAAGCAGAATTATGCACCAAATGATGAAAACTGTTAAGAATGGTTCCTGTAGAAGACAGAGACTGGTAGAACTGAAGGAGGGTTAGAATTGGAAGATTCTAGGTAAATTCACATATTTCTGAGCTGTTTTTAATGCTTTTGGAACAAATACTATGCACTCCATATTTAAACATTTTAAAAGTCTAAGATTAATGACAGTGAAGAAATGACCTCTAATTGAGTAATAGTGTCTATACTATAACAGCATCGACACATTGAAATGCAACCCCAAGATATGCATCCAAATTTTAACTTGGTCATTATACTTCGATGGTTGAATTACGGATTTTTTTCTTTAACTTTATGTGGGTTTCTTTTTGGTTCTGCATTAACCACTGTTTTGTAATTAGGACAAAGGTTATTGGAGAAAACTATGATGACCTTTCTAGGTTTCTCCCAACGATGATTACGGAGTTTGAAGAAGAGTGTGTTTATCTTAATTTAGTTTCTAACATGGTCATGATGCTTTATTTTATTGCAAAGTCAGATCCCTTTCTGGACTTGTTTAATCTAGTCATTTCTTTGAGGTTTACAATCTTCCTTTTCTTCTAGTCTTTACGGAATCATTCACTAATTTTTCTAGAGCATTCCCTATCTTCTGTAGAGCTCTTTCCTATATGAGTCCATCCCTCTTGACCCAGACCTTCATCAGCTCAGACATGAAGCATAGAAGGATTCTCTGAGTCTCCCTGTCCCCATTTCCCTTTCTCTATTGCCTCTATTTTCCTATTGTGACCATTTATCCATCCACTGTTCTTTTGTTTCTCTAACTGGCTACATCCCTACCTCCATGTCTGTGCCCTTGATGTCGCTCCTTGTAACAACATCCTAATGAACTCTTCCTCCATCACTGTCTCTCCCTTATCCATTGTAAATGAAATAAATCATTTGTTGAACACATTTTGTTTTCACAGATTTAATTCACTATATTTTATGTGGTGGCCACAGCTGGAGCCTGGGTCCTCTGAGCAGAGACTCTGATGTGGGTTTTCACAAGGTGTTCAATGAATTCCTGATAAGGACACTTGGTGAACACAGTCTCTTTCCAGAGGTGGGGGGTCAGGAAGCTGTAGGTCTCAGAGATGGTATCAAAGGTGGCCTTGATAAAGTTGCCCAGGATGGCAGTGCAGCCCCTGGCTGATGTGTAGCAGTCATTATACGGGCCATCATCAGTAGCTTCTTGGGTACAGAAGTAGAGATGATGGCAGTGCCTCTGGGGGCAGGGATGAGACGCACCAACACAGAACCACAGTGGCCTGTCACTTTGCATGGAGCAGTGTGGGGCTTGCCAGTTTTTGTCTGTCAGTTTTTGTTTTGTTTTGTTTATGGGTTTCTCTGTGTAGCCCTGGCTGTCCTGGAACTTGCTCTGTAGACCAGGTTGGCCTTGAACTCACAGAGATTCACCTGCCAATTCCTTCCAAGTGCTGGGATTAAAGGCATGTGCCACCACTACCCGTCAAGGTTGTCCAATCTTATTCCCCCACTAGCTTCTCAGCATAGGGACAATAGAAAGCTTGGCCAAGATGACGACCTCTCTGATGGCAGTGGCTACCTCCTTGGAGTACTTAACGCCAAGACTAACATGACCATTGTAGTCCCCAATAGGGGCAAAAGCTTTGAACCTGGTCCTTCTGCACTGGCATGATCTTTCAGAACCTCATCCTTTAGGGATGTGTCCAGGAAAAAGGTCAATAATCTTGGATTCCTTAATGGCAGAGAGAACAGGTAGATCTCTTCCAGGGACTTGACCTTCATTCCTGGACCAGGCAGCTCAGGCTGGTGATAGGGATCCACTCCTTGTTTTGGCTTTACCACCAGGGCCACAGCATCGACCATGACCAGTAAGACCAAAGCTGGATCCTCCATGGAAGCCACTGCGGCCTCCTAATCCTGGTGGGACCCTCTGGGCCTTTCCTCTGCAATGGCTTTTCCTGGAGCAGCAGCAGTAGCTGTTTAGCATATTTCTTAACGGTGTGTTGTGTATCGACACTAGCCTGGTTAGAGGAGTGTTGACTTATTTTTCCAAATCAATGACTGGACCACAATCCAAGGATTCTAATACTCAACTTCACAGTATCATCTGCCAATACTTTATTATGTCCTCCAGTAACTAGAGTTATCTAAGAGCCCCTCATTTCTCTTCTTTTTTCCCAATAACTATAGTCTCAGGAAGTCTTGTTTGTTTTGAGATAGGGTCTCTCTATGTACCCCTGGCTGTCTGAGAACTCATTATACTGACCAGGCTGGCCTCAAACTCACAGAGATCCTCCTACCTCTGCCTCCTGAGTGCTGGGATTAAAGGCATATGACATCATGCCTAGATGCTTCAAGAAGCCTTTCTGTATTCAACAAGTAATATGTGCCACATAGGAGCCATATGTGCCACATAGGAGCCAGGCTTTATGCTAAATACTAGGGATAGAAAGGTGAATAGAGTCTACTTCTTACTCAGA